ATTCTAATGAAATTCGACATGAGTGACTAAATTTGGTACAAAAATAAGTTTGACAAATTATATTCGAATCGTTTCAGATTTGGATATAGCTCCCATATATACTTTCGACCGATTTCGTTTATTTCATGCCCCAAAACACGATATGTATGTTCGATTCCAATGAAATTTGAAATGTGTGACGGGATTTGATCAGAAAATAAGTTTGTCAAATTATATTGAAATCGGTTCAGATTTGGATATAGCTCCCATATATATATTCGGCCGGTTTTACATATTTGATGCACCTAACGCGATATGTACCTCCAATTCCAATAAAATATGGAAGGTGTGACGGAATTTGGTGTAAAAAGTAAATTTTGTGAAATTATATTGAAATCGATTCAGATTGGGATATGATTTTATTAAGAATAAATACCCTTCATCTTATTGAGAAGCGTATAAGGGGAGAATTCTTATAAGGAGTAAAAGGCAGCATTCGAATGGGTCGAATAACAAATGTCCTAATATATTCATAATTTTACCCTCAGCCATAAGATATATACCATAAGGGTATATATCATTTGAAACGGTCAAACCGTGCCCCATTGAAATAACGGTTTCAGCCTCTAGATATCTTTGGACCGATATCCGTTTCAGGAAATTTTGGAGTCGATCTAGCAATGTCCGTCTGTCTGTCTGCTGACTGGTGTGCACGGTAACTCTTGAAGGGAGTATTCGATTTGATCCAAACTTGGTACATCGTAATATTATTATCAAACTTAGATCAAGTTCGGATATGGACAATATCGGTCCACTCCTTCAGGTACCTCCCACACAAAATTTCAAAAATTTCAAAGAAAATAATTTATTGCACAGGAAGAGAAAGTATAATGCGATTTTGCTCCAACTTTGCGAATCCTAATATTTTCATCAGTGCTAGGTCAGGTGCGAAAATGGACAATATCGGCCCACTCCATTAGGTTCCTCCCCCACAAAGGGTCAAAATTTTGAATAATTACAACTTTTATAAAATTTGATTTAAGAATCAGATTGTCTTCAGTTTTTACACATCTCAATTATTTTATTAACCCAAGGACTGGTGCCAAGATGGAATACATCAGTCCAATTCTTCTGGTACCTCCCCCACAAAGGATCAATATATTCAATATCCACGAAGCTCATAAAACGCGATATTAACATCTAATTCAATACTAACTTGATACTTCTCAATATGTCTATCAGCACAAGATTTGTTTTAAGGATGGTAGACATCGGACCATTCTTTCTGGTATCTCCCCCACAAAGGGCCGAAGTTTTGAAAAACTAAAACTATCATGAAATCCAAAAAAAGCATCCGGTTCTCTTCATATTTCATACATCCCATTATTTCCACTAACACAAGATCTGCTGTAAAGATGGGATATATCGGTCCACTCTTTCTGGTACCTCCCCCACAAAAGGTTAATACTTTGAATATTCATGATGCTCATAAAACGCGAAATTAACATCCGATTCCATTCAAACTTAGCACACCTCAATATTTCCACCAAAACAAGACCTATTATGAAGATGGTAGAGATCAGACCATTCCCTTTGGCACCTCTCCCACAAGGGGTGAAATTTTTGAATAACAAAAACAATTATAAAATCCGAAGTAAATATCCAGTCCTCTTCATATTTCACACATACTATTATTTCTACTAACACAAGATCAGACTTGGCACATCTAAATATTTTTATTAGCATAAGATCTGTTATAAAGATGGTTCAAATTTCACACATAAAAACATTTGTGCTAACACAAGATCTGTTGTAAAGATGATATATATCTGCGAACCCCTTCTAGTACCTCACTCACAAAAGGGTTACATTTTTCAATATAACTTGCGAAACAAGTCCGCGATTCTTTACAACTTGCTATATCTAATTATTTCTCTCAACCAAAAACCTGAAATGAAAATGGAATTTATGATTTCGCATAAAATTTGATATAAATGTTCGATTTTCTTGTAATTTTGCCCATATCGATATTTTTATCTGTATTATATGAAGTATGAAAATGGAAAAAATCGATCCGCTATATCTGTTACCTCATGCATATTTTCATATTTTCCAAAAATTTGCACATATCTCATATAAAGTATGGGAAATAGTCATAACTCAAGGTTGGGGCTACACAGCTGTCGGCAAAACCGACTGATACTAATTTACTTATTATTTAACAATTTTGTCGCTTTGTGCTGGAGGTACTTGATGGAGTGGACCAATATTGTCCATTGTCCGCACTTGACCTAGCACTGATGGAAATATTAGGATTTGCAAAGATTTGGAGCAAAGTTGGATGATATTTTCTCTTCCAGTGCAGGTAAATATTTTTTTTTTTTTTGGAAAATTTCTACCTTTTGTGGGGGAGGTACCAGAAGGAGTGGACCGATATTGCCCATCTCCGAACTCGATATTAATTTGATAATAATCGAGAGTTATCGTGCGCACCAGCTAGCCAGCCAGACGGAAGGACATCCATTCCAAATGTCCTGAAATGGATAAGGTCTGAAAACGTTATTTCGATGAGCACGTTTCGACATTATGATATATACCCTCTGTAGCCATGTGGTATAAAAAGGGTATAAATAGCACTGAACCTTTGTGACCTTTGACCCCGAAATGAAATTTATGGGGACGTTTGACATTTTGTTTTTCCACACAAAAATTCAGATTTAAAGATATTTTTGCAATTAAAATATCTATCTTTAGAGGACTATTAAATTCGGTTCCCATGTTTCACGTAAAGCTTATCGTATGATTCCTTTTAATTTAAATTAAAATTTTTGGAAATTGTGAATTGTACCAAGGCGTTGAATAATATTTTCAATTTTTTTTAGTTGAGACTATATAGTGTGTTGCCAGAATTTTATTATCACAAAAATCTCCTCCAGGTCATTAAAATTTAAATTTATGTCTCAATTTAATGCACTGATGCCAAGGACATTTTGGTCAATTCTTAATTTGTTATTGGCAATTGCAAGATTGGGAAATTTGTTTTTTTTTTTATACGCTACATCACATAGTGATAAGGGTATTATGTCTTTATGCATTTGTTTGTAACATGGAGAAGGAAGCGAGATAGACCCACAGTTACTTTTGAGGATCTCCATAGAAATACTTTCTGAGTTGATTTATGCGTGTCAGTCCGTCCGTCTGTCCATGTATTCTTGTGAACAAAATGCAGGTCGCATTTATTATCCGATTGAGATGAAATTTTCCAAACAACATTTGTTTGGCCCAAGGACGAACCCTATTGAAATTGCAGATAACCGGTATAAAATTAGATATAGCTCCCATATATATCTTCGTCCGATTTGCCTTTTATTGTGAACCAAACGTGTCATATCAGCCCGAATAGTATGGAATTATGCACATACAACCAAATTAGGCCAAATTTCATCGAAATCGGTTCAGATATAGCGATAGCTCCCATATATATTGTTTATCCGATTTGTTATTTTTGTCCTCCGCAGCCGTAATATGCACTCTGTAACAACAATATTTGGGGAAATATATCAAATTCAGCTCAGAAATACCTTTGCTAAATTTCATCGAGATCGGTTCAGATTTGGATATAGGTCACATATATAACTTCGTCCGATTTACATTTTATTGTACACCAAACGTCTAATATTTGCCCAAATGAGCTGGAATTTGGCACATGCGACCGAATTGACCTAGAAGCTAATATGTCAAATTTGGTGAAGATCGGTTCAGGTATAGCTATAGCTCCTATATATACTGTTCATCCGATTTGTTGTATTTGTTACCCACAGCCGTAATATGCACTCCGTAAAAACGATATTCAGGGAAATATATCAAATACAGCTCAGAAATATATTTGCCAAATTTTATCGAGATCGGTTCGGATTTGGATATAGTTCCCATATATATCTTTATCTGATTTCAAATTAATTTTGCACCAAATGGGCAATACAAGCCCGAATTTAAAAGATACAAATGCTTCGGCATATTTAGTCCTTTGAACTTTAAATTATAATTATAATCATAGCGTGTATGATTAAATTCTCCCATAAAATATTTTAATTGTTATGTGGAGCTCTACAAAATTAGCAAAGTGGTGTAATGTATCATAAAGTCGGCCCCGCCCGATTTTAGGACTTTCTTTACTGGTTTAATTTAAATTAATATTTTGGAAAATAGTGAATTTTGCTAAGGCGTGGCATATTTCTTTGCGTTTCAAACGTTTTTTTGTTTGTTTAAGATTTTCTTGATTGTTAGTCTTTATCGCGTGTAGCCAATATTTTCTTAACGTCAGAAAATCTTCTTCAGGCTAATTAAAATAATGGTACGAAAAAATTTCTGTCATTTATTAAAACAGTTTTAATAAAACTAAAAATGTTGTCTATATTTCGAAATATTGCACTGATGCCAAGGACATTTTCATAAAAAATGTAATGACTTCATTTTTATTGGCAATTGCAAGATTGGAAAATTTGGCATTTTTTCCATTTGTATTGGTTTGTCCAATATTTGGCTTTGTCATTTTCATAAGTGTATTTTAATGTCTTCAGATAAAAACTTTCATTTTCTTTTTTGGCTCAATACCGATATACACATATCATTTACTCTGATTCGCGTAATATTTGCAATTGAATATTTGTATTCAATTAGCACGCTGGCGACTGTGATACAATGAGGATGGTAATTTCACTTAACAGTAATTAAATTTCTTTTTTTTTCGGATCACAACAACAAATAAAAAATTGAAATTGTTGACACATTGTCGGTGGTTCATATCTGATCTGGCATACTATGTTTCTTTGGTAACTATTGTAAATCATTCATTTGTTAGGTGCTCACTTTGTTTGAACTTCAGACATGTTCGAAATAAACAATTAATTTTTTTTTCTGCCAAATTTTTTATGTTTTATTTTTCTTTTATCAACATTATCCAATAGTCATCTTGAATCGCATTGTATAAGACAAAAATATTTAATATTTTCAACACGTACTTTTCTGATCGAAATTATATTGTTTCACTTTGATACCAACACAACAGCCACATAAGGGTCCGGCACAATCGCATGGTTTACCAAAAGTAGACCATATGGAACCTTTGCTGGAGAATTTAAAATTGGACAAACTACGGCCGCGAGACACCGATACGGTTGGTGGCAGGAAGACTTGTTTCGTTGTAAGGTCATAGAAGATGAGACCATTGTTGTAACTGCGATTTTCGACTAGAATACATGAGGCGACTACGATTAGCACAACCGTACATATTTTCGGCGCGAATGACATTTTGTTGTTTCTCGATTTTTAAAAAAATATTTTTTCTGATTTTGAAATTTTCCTTTAATTTTTAATTTTTTTCTGCTTCTTTGGTTTCAAAATACTTAATTTTTTGTCACTTGAATTGTATTTTTTTTTTGTTAATTTTTATTGGCCAAACGACCGGACCGCACTCTTCGAAAGTTGATTATGCATTAAAGATGTGTTTACGGTTAGCATTTGTTTAAAAATGAAATTGAAACTCTTTTTTGTGGTGCTGTGTTTGGCCGCTTGGCAGGCAGGCAGACGGGCGGGCAGATTGGTGCTGTGCTATGAGCCGTTTCTCAGCTTGTGGCACATGCGCAACAATGATGGGTGCCAAACAACAGCCAGTCTGCCTACTTCTGTGTGTCGCTGTGTCTGTTTGTCTATCTTAAGACGCCGTCACTAAAGCAACTGGCGATAATGATGTTCATCATCATCATCGTCATTGTCTCAGCCAAACAGTCAGCAACTGTAACACCTTCAGTCGAAACAACAACAACAATAAGAGTCAGTAACCAAATGCACAGCGCAAAGTTTGCATGCAATGCTCACAACGTGATCGTGTCTTAGCCGTAATGGAAGAATGAATTGAATCAATGTTACCACTTTGGGGGTTTATTTGGAATATGAACAAGTTAAGAAGTATCAGTTGGTTTTGCCGATGTATACCCTCAGCTAATATTCAATTATATAAATATATTGTCAGTTCTGTTATGATTATTAAAATTGTTGAGTCAAAGAAATGTGCCTATATTGTCCATTTCGTATCGTACCTAAATAAACATGATATAAATATTGCGATGTGTCAGGCTTGGACCATATTGGTTACTTCTTTCGTTTTATATGAGATATGTGATAATTTTTAGAAAATGTTAAAATGTGAGTGAGGTACCATATATACAGGGTGAGATTAAAAAACTTCAACCAATTTCAGACTGCTGCCATTTCTAAGCCGCTCATCCGACAGTGACAGCTCATTATACTGTTTACAAGCGTACAAAAGCATTTTTGTGAGAATTTTCCAGAAGAAAAGTTTTTCGTGACGGAATTCAAGCGACTTGATCGAAATCCCGACTTGATCAAAAACCCGCGTAGCAGTTGCAGAAAAATGGCTCGTGAGCTGAACATATCGCAATATTCCATTCGGCAAAAATTGAAAAATGAGCTTGGGGTAAAGCCATTGAAATTTCAAAAAGAGCAAGAACTTACACCGCAACAGAAAGAAAATAGACTCAAAGAGTTAAAAAGTTGTTTCGCTTGGCCGAAAGTGGTGAACCGTTGTCCAGCAGTTTGTAAACAAAAAAAAAAAAAAAAAATGATCGTGTTTACTTACCAAACAGGTCAGCTGAAAATGTGAACCTTCGGTTGATCATTAGAACATAAGTTCCCGCCATGGTGATGGTGTGGGCCACCATAACAGCGGATGGTCGCTCTCTACTCATATTAACCGACCGTGGCATCAGAATAAATGCCGAATATTATTGCGAAAATATTCTGGAGGGTGTATTAAAGCATTGGGCACGCAAACATTTTGACCGCATACCTTGGACATTCCAATAGGATTCAGCATCGCACTCAGTGTCTCCTTGCTTGATTTCCACCGCACAATGGCCACCAATCTGTTGGACTATTGTGTCTGGAGTGCCAACCAGGAAAGCAAGGTTGGCACTAAAAAATACCAAAGAGTCGATCACCTCATGCAAGCGCTTCGCCGGGAATGGGCCAAAATACCGCAGAGCAACATTCGAGCAGCGTGTGACGGTTTCATTGGCCGTCTGAAGGCCATAATTCGTGCCAAAGGTGATCAATTCGAACAAATCTAAACTTATTCTAAAATTTGATTCTATTTCCGACATTTTTTACTTTCATTCAAAAGAATTAAAAAAATTAAAACTATGGAGTTTGTCTTCGTTGCAGTTTTTTTTTTATCTCAGCCTGTAGTCGACCGAAGAATTCAATTTTCATACTTCATCTAATACAGATAAAACCAGTAATGAAAAGTCAAAAGTCGGGCAGGGCCGACTATATGATATGATATGAATATGACTATGCATATATAGTGGAGCTCTCGTAACAAAAGAATTTATTTCAAGCAGATCATACCACCTATCAACCTTTGGCTTTAGAGCAGTTATAGATTACTATAGAGTGCATGATATCACTTCGAGAAGGATTATATTAACAACAAGTAAAAAGCAGTAAGTTCGGCCGGGTCGAAATTTGAATACCCTCCACCATTTGGAACGAATTAGGAAATTTAAAAAAATGAAATCCATTAAAAATTCTGCTAAAATCTTAAAAATACCGAATATCGTAAGGTGCCGATATATTGGGGTGTTATACAATATTGTGGATCTATACAGACAAATCTACGTCTGGGGGTAAAGTACTCACAATGAACTTCTTGTGTGGAATTTCAGACAATTTCATTGAGAAATGTGGTTAAAATCATCAAAATACCGAATATCGGGGGTACCGTTATATGGGGGCTATACGATATCGTGGACCTATATAGACAATTCTCTATCAGGGGGTAAAGTGCTTACAAAGAACTCCTTGTGTAGAGTTTCAGACAACTCTGTTGAAAATTGTGGCTAAAATCTTCAAAATACGGAATATCGGGGGTACCGTTATATGGGGGCTATACGATATCGTGGACCGATATAGCCCATCTTCGAACTTGACCTGCCTGCACTGATATTGGTGGCAATTTGGTTCACAATTAACCCGAAATCGTTTGAGAATATATATGGGAGCTATATCCAAATCTGAACCGATCTCGACAAAATTTAATACACTTATTTCATAGCTATATCTAATATCTGGTACCAAATATAATTGTTGTGGAATGCATAATACGCTTGTGAGGGCCTTTAAACCCTAAATCTGATAAAACATATATATGGGAGCCATAGCTATATCTGGACCGATTTACAAATTTAAAGTGCTGATTTATAGGATGAATTCAGTCGTAATTCCCAAAATTCGGTCTATTTGGGGTGATATTACTCATTTGGTGCACAATAAACCTGATATCGGATAAATATATATATAGCTCCCATATATCCTAATCTGATCCGATCTCGAAAAAAATTTGACAGAGGTATTTCTGAACTGCATCTGATATCTGGTACCATAGATTATTATTATGTGAGTTTTTGATAAAAATTATTATCGAAATTTATATTACAAATAAAAAGTATATGTTTTTGTTGTTTACTGCCAATTAAACACACATTTCCATTCTATCTTATCCTTAATATTTCTATTTTTGAAAAAAGAGTCAAAAAATTTTAAACCCCCATATCAAGTGTTTTATAAGCTTTTGTCATATTTTCCTAATAATTTCGCTTAATTTTTGCATTTAAAGTACTGATAATGAAATAAAATCCTTCAATATTGGTTCAGGTTGCGGTACAGACTTTGTATAAAGACACCAACTGATTTTAGTTAATGCGATTGTCTTGGCGATGTTTCCCAATTGACTAGCCTGAAAAATTGTATGTTGGTTTCTTCGGAGGTAGAGAAGCTTCTGACAGAAACTATTTAATATAACAAAGAAAATAATAAATTTGATCAAGAATATTTTTGTCTTTGACGTCATGATTCTAAAATGTTGATTTGTGGAAGTATTTTGCATATTTTAATGATATTTTTCTTACCTCTCCGAAAAAAGTCGTTTTATAAAAATCGCTAACCGACAACATTGTTGCAAGTTCAAACATTTAGGCTGAGACGGATTATTCACCGCTTGTTGTTTTGTTTGAAATGGATTTGAATGATTGGTTCAGATTTGCTGCTGTTTTATTTTTCTATCGTTATGATTGTTGTTGCAGTTGCAGTTGTTGTTGGCGTTATTGTTGTTCCACTGCTGCAAACAAATCAAGCACATATGTCGTTGATTATTGAGTGGCAATCTTTCACCTTTGGAAATTTGTACGTGATATTGTTACTTTACTCTGTGATATAGAAAGCAATAGTGATTTTCATTACAAATAAAATAAAATGCAAATATATCAACATTATAATGACTAATTGCTTTCGATTTGAATTTTTTTTTCCATGAATACACATATATGTATGTGTTTTTGTATGAGTAAATAGGTGTTATAATTATAGTTTTTCTCATTTTATTGGAAAATTTTGAAGTTGTTTGTTTGATGTTTGTAAGAAAAGTGGGGGAATTTATTAGATTTTGCTGTAGGAGAGGGTTAGGAAGGAGCATCTCCCTGCTTTAAATGAATAAATACTGAATATTATACTTTGTGTGGCAAGGAAAAGTCGGGTTTTCTCATACTTCATACATTGCTATGTATATTCAATCCATCCATAATCTATACAAATATCTTGATTACTTTATTTTTGTTTTCAACAATTAAAAAAAGTAAATTGTATTAATTTTACCGAAAATTTTGTTTGAAAGAAATATATATATATATAAACCCTCAGCCTATGTACGATTACTTAAAAATATTTTGACTTCTGTTATAATTATTCAAATGTTTAACCCCTTATGGAGTAGGTTCCGAAGGAATGGGCCAATATTGGCAATTGCGTATCGGTCCCAAATAAATATGATATAAATATTGCGACGTGCCAGGTTTGGACTATTTTGTTAATTTCCTTCACTTTACATGACATATTTGATAATTCTTAGAAAATATTAAAATGTGGGTAAGGTACCAAGAAAATCGCACATTTATATCCAATTTATGGAGAATCATAAATTCCATATTCTTCTCAGTTTTCTGGCAAAGAGAGATGTATTTAAATATACCAAGTTGTGAAGAATCGCTGACTTGGTTCGCAAGTTATGACAGATAAAAGTACTGAAAATTGTTACCCTTTGTGAATGAGGTACCAGAAGGGGTTTACAGATATATATCATCTGCAAAACAGATATTGTATTAACAAAAATGTTTGTATGTGTGCAATTTGAGGAGAGTTGGATGCTTATTTCGCTTTCTTTGAGCCTTTGAGAGGGAGGTATCAGAAGGAGTGGACCGATATATCCCATCTTCAAACAGATCTTTTGTTAGTGAAAATAATGGTATGTGTGAAATATAAAGAGAACTTGATGTTTATTTCGAATTTTATAAATGTTTTGGATTTTCAAAAATGTGACCCTTTGTGGGGGGGGGGGGGGG